TTCGTTGAACGAGAACAAGCCAGCTCGGCGAGCAAGTCAACAACTTCACTCACAACCCGAGCTACAGATCTTTGTGACAAAACTTTGAATATATACTTTATATATATAAAATAGATGTATGTATATATTCATATATGTACATATATATAGTATGCTGTAACATGAAGGGCAAATAATTATAAACGACCTTTGTACAGGCATTTTTATCAAAGCTTTCTATCTTGCACTCATCAGGACAATTTGCAAGAATACCACTAGCGCTGGAATTCATATATCACATTACCCATCTGTGTGTTAGGCTGGATGTCTGTTTGGTTTGACAGCAGCATCCTGTAGCAGTATGAGAGAGCTATCTCCACCTGTTTGCGATGACTTACCCCCAGTGTAACCTGAAGTTATGCTGGGACTGGGAATTTTCAGGACCAAAAGTGATAGTCTATGGTCCATTCATCAGTTTGCATTATACACAGCAAGAAATAACCTGATCAGGTTAGCCATTATCCCACAGAATTGGTGACAGCCATTCCGTAGTTCATTGTCAACACCTTGACCAATCGGATTCAACTTGCCTTGTTTAATATTTAAATAAAATGTGGCAGTTAACTGTCTGTCATTGTTAACTGGTGCATTCTCCATGATAATGCCTCGACCAATCAGAGTCCACATGGCAACCAATTAGCACTGTCTTCCCATCAGTGTAAATATTGGATTTCCCTTAAATTGGTATTCTTGAGAATTGTGCTGATGAGTGCAAGACAGAAACCTTCGACAAAATGTGCCATTCTTCACTAATACCAAAGTATAAGGCAATCTATAATTGTTCTCGAAGGGGCATCTGTTATTGTTGCTTTAGAATCTGAACATTTTACACTTGAGGCCCTCAAGCAGTCAGTTGATGGGCCTCCTTTCACTAACACCACTGGGGTCTTACCTACAGTGGGACGGCAGGTTGACGATTGAAACCAGGCAGACTGGTGCCTGGGGCAATTGCCTCATTTGCAAACACCTTCTGTCCATCCTAGTGCCCCCCCACTTCCACAAGGTGATTCTTCCTCTACCCCCACTCCCACACTCAGTTTCCCCATCCCCTCCCTCCATCCTGCCAATTCTGAGCTTCCCTACAAGCTGTGGCCCAGCAGCCTTTGCCCATAGTCCGCGGACCTGAATTTAGGTCCCGGCTCCATTGGTACCTCTTCTTGTTAGATGCTTGCAGTTCCAGGAGTGCCCCCCACTCCTGATGGTGTTGCTGAGGCGAGAGATTGGCCAGTGGTTGTCAGGTGATGCTTGTCCTGTCCAAGGGGTGCAAAGGTCACCTTGAGCAATAGGTGGCCCTACTTGCCACTGCATGCACATGGGACCAAACAAGGGGCTGAGGGGGAAAACTCAGGGGTGAGGACCCCTGTCCCCAACGTAAAATTCAGGCAATTGTTCCAGAAAACAGAACTTAATTAAAACTGAAAGAACAGCGGATGCTGTGAATCAGAAACAAAAACAAAAGTTGCTGGAGAAGCTCAACAGATCTGGCAGCATCTTTGAAGGAAAAATATTAGAGTTAACATTTCGGGTCCGGTGAGGGTCCATTCTGAGGAAGGGTCACCAGACCTGAAACGTTAACTCTGACTTTTTTCCTTCACAGCTGCTGCCAGACCTGCTGAGCTTTTCCAGCAACTTCTGTATTTGAACAGAACTTAATTCTCTGTTTTGGGATTTGAAAACGATTAAGGGACAGCACAGGAATATGGTGTCAAAGTAAATGATCAGTCATGATCTCATTGAATGGCAGAATAGACTCAAAGGGCTGAATGGCCTACACCTATTATGTAACGCTGATCTCTTTCGCTTAGTCTATATGAAAATGAAAAACGTGTGTTATAACTTCTGTGTTTTGGCAGCAAGCTTTTCTGAGCTCCATGTTCATTTCTTTCAGAATCACTAGAGGTCCATACATTTCTGTCAAAATTCTGCTTGCATTTCAATCCATCACTTCTACTCTCAGTTCGATGGTTCTATATATTACTATGTTAGGATAAATAACATAATTCTGAATATTGCTGAAAAATAGAATATTTTTTTAGTTGCCTTGTGGAAGCTTTCTATCTTACATTGATCAAGACAATTCTCGAGAAATGCCAGAGTGAAGGGAAATCAACATTCATTTGGGTCTAAAGAAGAATGCCAATTGGTTAGCAAGTGGGAGAGGCATTGCCATGGAGAATGCATTAGTTAGTGATGACTGACAGTAAACTGCTAAACTTATTTCAGTTGCTTGCAGTGTAGCACACCTGCCACCACATGTTTTATACTCATTGCCACATAATTAAGACATTTACAGTACAAATGAGTTAACAATTTTTAAGCATGCACATCCAGTCCCAAAACAGAGAAAAAAAGCAGAATGAGTCATAAAGTAAATATGAATTAAAGGTGACATTAAAACTTAATCCCCATTTGTTTTCTCTCTCTACAATTGCCCTTTTGAGCTTGCCTGCAGATGGCTTCATCACACATTTACTCTTCCATTATACAAAGCCCTGCTGAATCAAAATCTCTGATAAACTGGGCTTCTTTACATTATATGTTCATACCGTAAGATGCAATGGGAAGGAAACTTCTGGCTAGAGTAAATACTTTTCATCCTGGCAGGTTGGACTGCCATGGCACAGGGCAGGGGCTGAACACAGCAGGCTCTAAATCAGGGCAGTGCCATCTGTCGTTGCTTAGAAACAGAGGAAAATAAAAACTGGCTTTGGCATTGATCCAATGCCCATGTTCCTTGTGCTTTTAAGTAGAGTACAAATCCCCTGGCGCTAACAAATCAGAGCTTTTAAGCCCGCCGAGGCAGATTTGCACTGGAGACCATTTCGAATTCACACTAACAAGAGGCTTCCAGTTCCATTTGTAAATCCATTTAAAGCTGCAAATAGGTGTCTGGACTTTATTCAAGGTTTTACTGTTCTGTCTGGTCATAGATAAAGCCATAGAGATCCCTTTATCCCTTCCTCTACCCTGGCAGTTGTGCTCATGTGGAATGGCTGCCCTGTCACACTTGTCTCTGGTTGCCTCACAGAGGAAATAGTGAAGGCGAACAGTGGCTCCGATTTCGCTTGGGCAAAAGATCAAGAAACGCGGAACAAGCTCTGGCAGGCGCGGCACAGTGCGTGGTATGCCGCTCGAGCCATGCACCCGGGCTGTGAGGTAAGCTGGCTTCAGCCTTCACCTCGGGCACTTCTCGAACTGTATCCTCCGACCCGTCCGACTAACAAACAAAATCTCCCCTCGTTCCCCAAGGGTTATTCCACAGATGTCTGCGTCCCACTCTCAAAGCTACCGGAAATCATCGTGACCACGAAAGAAGATTTGGTGAGGTCAAAGCTTACAGGTTAGCTGGAATGAAAGACAGCATTTGCCCAATACAAATCCTAGCCATCTACTTTCTCACTTTGCTTCCCTAGTTGGGACTGATGTGGGTCACAGTCGGTACTTACTGTCACATTAGGCACAGTATATTTTACCTCCTGGGTCCCATGTACTTTACTTCCATAAGATGGTCTGTCGTGTAAATGGACTAAATACTCTCAGTGATCCCTTTTGATCACCACATCTGTTTCTCAGACCGTTCAGGCATCAGCACATAAACTTTTGGAAACTCATGGAAAGGTACTGGTGTTGAAATGCAGCCTATCTGACAGCTGCAGGTACAGGAGCAAGGACGGTAAGGAAACTCGCACAGAGTTCTGCAGAACACAAAGTCACAGAGGGATCTGGGTGTCCTGGAATGTGAATCACAAAATGTTAATGTGCAGGTACAGCAAGTGATCAGGAAGGCAAATGGAATGTTGTCACTTATTGCAAGGGTAATGGAATATAAAAGTATGGATGTTACTACAGTTGCACAGGGCATTGGTGAGGCCACTTCTGGTGTACTGTGTACAATTCTGGTCTCCTTATTTAAGAAATATGTCGTTGCTTTTGAAACAGCATAGGGAGGATTGAGATAACACGGTGTGGAGCTGGAGGAACACAATAGGCCAGGCAGCATCAGAGGAGCAGGAAAGTTGGCATTTCGGGTCGGGATCCTTCTTCAGAAATGGGGGAGGGGGAAGGGAGCTCAGAAATAAAGAGAGAGAGGAGGGGTGGGGCTGGGGAAGGTAGGTGGGATGATGATAAGTGAGTGAGGGGATTGGTCAATGAGGTGGGAGGGGCAGATAGGTGGGAGAGAAGACGGACAGGGTTGTGTCAGGTCAAGGAGGCGAGGATGAGAGGGAGGGTTGGTCATGGGATGAGGCTGGGGGGTGGGGAGATTTTGAAACTGGTAAAGTCCACATTGAGACCATTGGGTTGTAGGCTCCCAAAGCGGAATATGAGGTGCTGCTCCTTCAGTTTCCGGGTGGCGTCATTGTGATACAGGAGGAGGCCCAGGATGGACATGTCACCCAGGGAGTGGGAAGGGGAGTTGAAATGGTTCGTGACTGGAAGGTGTTGTTGTTTGTCGCGAACAGAGCACAGGTGCTCTACAAAGCGGTCTCCAAGCCTCTGCTTGGTCTTACCGATGTAGAGGAGGCCACATCGGGAGCAGCGGATGCAATAGACCACATTGATGGATGTGCAGGTGAACCTCTGTCTGATGTGGAAGGTTTTCTTGGGGCCTGGGATGGAGGTGAGGAGGGAGGTGTAGGGGCAGGTGTAGCACTTCCTGCGGTTGCAGGGAAAGGTGCCGGGGGTGGTGGGGCTAGTGGGGAGCGTGGAGCAGACGAGGTAGTCGTGGAGAGAGCAGTCCCTACGGAAGGAGATAGAGGTGGGGAGGGAAATATATCCTTGGTACCACAACTCCTCAGAAGTCTGGCAGGCATTGTTTAAACAGAAACAAACAGAGAAAGCTGGAGAAACTCAGCAGGTTTGGCAGCATCTGTGAAGAACTCAAGAAGAGTGACACTGGACTCGAAACATTAACTCTATTTCTTCTGTCCACAGCTGCTGGTAGACTTGCTGAGTTTCGTCTGAATTCGGTGTGTTTCAGATTTCCAACGTCTACAGTATTTTGCTTTTATTTGATGGTTTAAACAGAGCACCATTCCATAACGTTTATCCTCAGCTTATTGGATATGATTAAATGTGGTTCCCTCTTTAATGTGTAATGCTTTTAAACTTATTCTTGTTTTTGTAAATGGTTTCATTACATCTGATGTGAAACATCTGTCATCTTCAACCCAAGGACCGATTGTAGGCCATGTAGGAGATGGTAACTTCCACTGTTTGATGATAATGGACCCCCAGAATGAGGATGAAATGATGAGGATAAAAGAGTTCACCTATAGATTGGCCAGGTACAGTAACATAAGGCTGAATGTTATCGCTGAGGGATTGTAGGGAGTGTTTCCTGTCCTGGGCTGACAGCAACTTTTCTTACACAGTTTTCTGCTGCACACCTCATTCATTATTGCTTTTGGGTTCCATGACCCCCATCTCGGCCTATCACATATCCCTGCTGCATACCCGGACCCTCTCATCCCGGACAGTACTTGGTTTCGATTTGATCCAGGAGCAGGTTCTGGTCAGTACATCACTGGCACGTCCCTGCAGCTGTCTGAGGAGGAAATGGCCCAGGTCGCTGGGCCCTCAGAGGCCTGCCCGAGACCAGGGAGCTGCTCTGGCCCACACACAGGATGATCCCATAGTATCCCATAGTACAAATGCATAGACAGTGACAGGAACAGAAGACAGGTTGGTCAGAGACACTCAGTAAACTGCACCGGAAGTTGGTAGGGCCCGCCAATGTTAGCAGTATCAGGCTGGCTCCAGTGTGTCTATGTCTGGCCGTCTCCAGGGGCAGGTTGGTGGTTGCCGTGGAGAACCAGGTCCAGCAGAGCTGGAAATGCACACAGACCCGCACACCATCACTTTAACCACCATCAGCAGCGAGAGGGGGATGAGGGACCTCAACCTCACTCCCGGTGCCTCTTCCTATCGCAGAGGCCAGTGTAGTGCCATTCCACCTCCGGAAATGCCGGGACAGACCAACCTCCAGCCTTCCTGCAATCCCAAACTGTGTAGAAGTTGCAGCCAGGGAGGGTGAACCTGTAGCTGGGCAGGTCTTGACTGTAAAGTTACAAATGGCCTTGGGATCAGCCAGGCCAAATCTTCCAGGCCAACAAGCTACACTACAGAGCTGCAAGAATGTAGAGTTCTTGCAAATATAGTGATGATCCAGATGCACCACAAGGTTCTCTGTGCAGTCCAAACTGGAGCATGTTATTAATGGGAATTAGTACGCTGTACAGTTTTTGCACTGTTTATTCTACATTCACTCAGCAATATAAGTCAACAATCTCTTTGCTTTGTTGACTAATACCCAATTAGCACCATTGTGTTATCACTCCAGATTGTTTTCAAATTCCCCTTTAACTGGTTGGAGAGATTACAGCACCTAGTTCCCCTTTCCCCACCACCCTCTGATATTTCAAAGTCATTGATTTACCTATTAAATCTCACTGTTGGCTCCCTTTATAAGATTTTATTCAATTTCTTACACTCCAGTAGCCCTCCCTTAGGCTGCTCAGTACTTTGCTGACTTCATTCTGAACTGGATATTGTACGTTCCCAAAGAATTTATTTATATTCACCACTTTAAACCTTCCTAGAGATCTCTGTTTCATTAATGTCAAAACTAATGTCTGCTCAGATTATCTCTGTTAATGTCGAGCCATTACTATAGCAACAAGCTACTCAATTAAAGGAGAAATCCAATCAGACTCTCTAGTGAATATGAAAAGAAGGTAATTGTTAAGTTGGTACACAGTAAGGCACCTCATCTCCGCTCCTGCATTACTTGATTTCCCTGAAGAAAAGAAAATGGTACTTTTCAAAGTGTTTTAAGATCTGCTGAGCTGTGATCTTGATGTCAAGGTGGATTATTCCAGCTCAGTAACGGATATAAGGTAGAAGGTAGTGGTTTGTAAAACAATCCCAAATGATCTTTAAGTTGAATTTGACAAGATAATTTGCCTTGTGGGCTGAGATTAACAGGTTTACACACACCAATGATGCACTGTTGGACTGTCTTTACATTCAGTGTTTCTCCCCCTCCTCCCACTCAAAGTGCTCGATACATGAAGTATGCATTAACTACAAAGTTACCAGGGTTTGCTAATTCCTGAAAGCTGAGTGGGTGGATGGTGTGTCACAGGAAAATGTTCACTTGTTAATAAAACGAAAGGAAAAGGGATTGGGCCCTAGTGAAGAGCATGTGATACCATGCTGTAATGGCCTCAGAATTGTTAGTCCTGCTACTTGCTCAACAGTACCTCCTTGCCTTTCCTCACTGTATAGGCCAAACTTGTCAATCTGAAGAGCAGCTCTGTCTGACCTCTCTGCTGTCCCCAGCATAAATGGATATGATGGCATTCTCTGTATACTTTGTGGCGCTCAGATGTAGAGACGCAGCGTACACTTGGAACAGTCCTTTGAAAAGTTCCTGAAGGAGGATGACATTACCACTTTTGTGGGGAGATCTGTGGCTTGGTTAAGTTCATCTGCTATGGGGAATCCATGATTGCTTAAAGCTTCTTAGATTGCCTTATGTGGATGAACATTGGTGGGCAGAACATTTTCCCCCATCCTTTTTATACCTTCACATTCAGGTCATTTAGTGACTCAGTCTTGGGAGTGCAATTAATCTCTGCACATACATTTTGGTGAACTGAATAGGTCAAATAAAAGGTAAAGTCACCATAGTTTTACCAGACCACAGGGCTGCTGTCTCATTAGAGAGAGGTGACTGGTGGTTGTTTAACCTGAGGCTCAGGCGAGGGTAGAGGTCGAAAAGGACAAGCCTTCATGGTAACCTCAGCTGGTACAGGAAATTGAACCCATGCTGTTGGCATCATTGCATCCAGTTGTCCAGCCAACTGAACTGGCTCGTGTAGGGGAAGCCTGGCAATCAGCTGAGTTGCTTGCCATCTGTACAGTAAAGTAATGTTCTATGGGTCTGTAAAGGTCGCTGTTTTGATGTGGATCGAGGATGACACAAGATTACTTGTTAAAAATAGGTTGAGGAAAGATTCATGGAAATGATTCCAGGGATGGAGAACTACAGCAATGAGAATAGACTTGTCTTGTTGAGAGAAGGGAGGCTGGTGGGAGATTTGACAGAGGGGTCCTGAGGCGTTTGGTGTGGACTGAGTGGATTGGGAGAAACTGTTCCCATTATGAAAGGATCAAGACTGATGGGCACAGATTTGAAATAATTAGCTAACGAAGTAAAGGTGACATGAGAGAGAAGAAAACGTTCTCATTCAGCCAGAGGTTAAGGGTCTGGAACACACTACCTGAGAGTGTCGTGGAGGCATTCCAGAGGGAAATAGACTGTCATTCCAAAAGGAGGCATGTGCAGGATTTCGGGGAGAAAACAGGGGTATGGCACTAAGTGAATAGCTCACTCAGAGAGCTAGTGCAGACACAGTAGGCTGAATGGCCTCCTTCAGTGTTGTAACGATTCTGAGATTCTGTGTATTTTCAGGGGAATGGAATTGCTTATTATTGCGCACAGAAGGTATTTTTAATAGCTTAACTGCATTCTGTTGTCAAGGTTCAGCTTTTCTGACTGAAAGAGAAACAACTAAAGAATATTTTTTCCAGAATAAAGCAACATGGAATTATCCTGAAAGAAATGAAGTCCCAAGGTAATATTCAGAGATTCCTGAACAAAATACTGTGGTGGGTTAACTCTCACTGCTGTGTGCCAGTCAGAAGGGTAGGAACAGTGTGTACCTCAGTCAATAATCATTGCCAATTCATTATTTAATAAAGAATCTTGAGTCAATGTTGATTTCTCCCCTGTTATTTAGTCCATGGATCAGTTAAGAAATGATAAAGTTGACTGACTAAAGATTCTGACAGCTCTGTGTGAGTTAGTGCTGTAATTACAGAACATAGAGTATTGGAAAACATTATAATGCAACAGGTTAGCTTGCTAATTGGACCTTCGCTTTCTCTCTCTGACTCTCTCTCTCTCACAGAAGAGCATTGGCCATGCATGGTACCTGTACTGGGGAGCACGGTATAGGCTTGGGAAAGAGGCAGCTCCTGGCTGAAGAAATTGGCGCTGTCGGTATGAAAGTAATGAGGGAAATTAAAGCTGCACTTGATCCAAAAAACATCATGAATCCTGGCAAAGTGGTGTAAAAGAGGTGGTGCCCTTTCCCCATCCAAATATTTCCACCTCCCTACAATCAGCAAGTTTCAGTGTCATTGGGATCAATGCACAGACGATGAAATTCCCCTTAAGGCGGCAATGCATGGGAAAGTTTTACAGTTGTTAGCCTTCAAGCACAAGTACAGGATGCTCGAGTCTAAAAAAAAATTTAAATGCTTTACAGCAGAAGTTATTCTGGTTAGCACTTGAGTAATTCCTCAATTGATATATTACAAATTATTTGATTTCTTAGAAATTGAAGGCTTTGGATACAAAAATAAACTTGAATCAAAATGTAGCAAGGAGGATTTCGAAAAGAATACAGACCTGGCCAGGCTTTAATGAACATTTTGCAAACTGCAAGGAATCAGCAACACTTTAATCCTCAAATGTTACTGTTTAATTCTTTTAGTTTAAAACTGCCTTCAAAGAGGAAGTTTATTTTTAATCTGTCATATAATGATAATATTGTTCGGAGTATTTGTGAATAATAAAAATTTTATTTACAGCACACAGAATCTTTCTTCCTTTCTTCAGTGAAATTTCAAATGCAGACAGGAAATACCAAACTTCGTTATAGGGAGAAACGTTACATTGGGAATACCGATCCTTTTGAGAATATTGTGCCACACGTTACTGGCCAAATAGACTTGCACCTTCTTCCACTCCCATCTGTGCAGAGAGACAGTGATAATGTCACTGGACTAGTAATCCAGAGCCCCAGGAAATCTGCTTCTGATCAGCAGCTACTGCCACACCATTGGCAAACTCATCAACACTCATCATCACTCTTCCACGTTGAACAACACTTGGAGGAACCACTGAGTGGCAAGTGCAGAAAATGCACTCTGGGTGGAAGATTTCAATGTCCACTAAGAGTGTCTCAGTAACACTACTACTGACCAATCCTGAAGGACATAGCTGCTAGACTGGGTCTCTGACAAGTGGTATGGGAACCAACAAGAGAGAAAAACATACTTGACCTCCTCTTCACCAGTGTACCTGAAACAACCGTACATGATAGTATCACCGACAGCGCACAGTCCTTGTGGAAACAAAGTTCCAGTCTTCACATTAAGGATACCCTCCATTATGTTGTGTGGCAGTACCACCGTGTTAAATGGAACAAATCTTGAAAACATCTAGAAACTCAAAATGTCGAGGTGCTGTGGCCGTCAGCAGCAACAGTATTCAGCACAATCACTAATATCAGGCTTGGCATGTCCTATCCTTCTCTCTACCATTACCATCAAGACCAGAGATCAACTTTGGTTCAATGAAGAGTGTAGGAGGGCCAATCAATCCTACAACCAAGCATCGATGCATTAAGAAAATTAAGGCACACACAAAAGTACTATCACTTATTGAGGACTGGGCTGGATGCGAATTTTGTACCTGGAGTTTGAATGCTGAGGGATGCATTTTGACCAAATTAAATATTTTCCCAACATTTTGTGTTCAGAAGGATTAGCATTCTTAAAGAAGGGAATCTGAAAATTATTTTAAAACCACATGCCTGAAACTCTCCAATCCAGTTGGTCAGAGCTGATTTCAAATCCTCAATCTAGTTTACCTGTGGATGAGGGCACCATTTTTTTAAATCCACTTTTCATAAGCTGACTTTCTGAGATATTTCCTAGTTTGATTCTGCCAAGGGTAAATAAGAAGTGGGAACAGCAGCAACAAGACAACATAAGCAACAATGATAGTTCTGAAAGAACCATCGATGCACCACATTCTAATGGAGTGTCATTTTGTTTCTGTGGCATCTGCCTCGAAAGACTGAGTGTGGCCCCAACTCCTGCACCACATAGAAACATTGTGGACTAAAACTTAGCCAATACATCTTTCCTAGAATTATTCCAGAGTGTAGCTTAGGTCAGTGATTTTCCAAAATCACAACCTGGGATAACTTGAACAGTGTGAACTGAACAGTGTTTTACAAGGAACATAAGTAGGTTCATGGGTAGGCCATTCGACCATCTGGAACCCATCATCATTCAAACATGAACACGGCTGATCCTCTATCTCCCTTCATACCCCTTGACATCTTTAGCCTTGAGGTATCTATTGTTTTCCAAAATATGTTCAATGACCTGGCCTCCACAACCTTCAGGGGTACAGAATTTCACACGTTCACCACTCTTGTAGTGAAGACATTTCTCCTAATCTTAATGGTCTTCCATGTATCTGAGATAGTTCCTCCTTGCCCTGGAATTCCCTGGCCAAAGGAAACATCATCCCTGTATCCAATCTGTCCAGCCTTCTGAGAAATGTGTACCATACAATAAGACCATTTCTCATTCTTCTAAACTCCAATGAGTACAGGCCCAGTCAACCTAATCTCTCCTCATGCAACAACTTGCCATCTCAGCTATCAGTCTGATGAATCCTTGCTGCACTTCCTCTACGGCAAGTATATTTGTTCTTAGGTAAGGAGATATAAACTGTTCAGAATACGCCAGGTGATTTCTCACCAAGGCCCTGTACTTAAACACTCTTACAATGAAGGCAAATGCACCTTTTATCTTTCTGCTTGCTGCTCCTTCATGCTTGCTTTCTGTAGTCAGTGTACAAAGACACCCAGGTTCCTCTATATATCAACTTCTCCCAATCTGTCACTATTTACTTTCTGCCATTCTGTTTTTCCATCCAAAGAGGAAACTTGACATTTATCCATATTATGTTGCATCTACCATGCAGCTGCCCAATCTCTCAACCTGTCTGCGTTTCCCTGACAGCTCCTTCATCCTCCTCATCACTTGCACTCTCACCTATTGTTGAGACATCAGCAAATTTGGAAATATTGGACTTGATTCCCTCATTAAAATCATTGATATATATTATGAATAGCTGTGGTTTAAGGACTGATCCCTGCAGTACCCTCCCTGTCACCACCTTCCACTTAAAAAATTATGCATTTATTCTTACTCTCGGTTTCTTGTCAGCTAACCAATTCTCAATCCATGCCAATGTATTACCACCATTTGCATGTGTTTTGGTTTTGCACACTAACCTCTTATGTGGGACTTTATCAAAAGCTTTCTAGAAATGTAAGTACACCAGATCCACTGGTTTTCTCCTTCATATATACAATTAGTTATATACTCAAGAAAACTCCAGTTTCCCATTCGTAAATTCATGTTGACTTTGTATAATACCATTGGTATTTGTTATCCTTGCATTTCCCTATGGCTGATATTAGGCCAGCTGGTCTGTAATTCCCAGTTTTGTCCCTCCCTCCTTTGTTCAACAGTGAAGTTATATTTTCCACCCTCCAATCTTCTGGGACTATTCCAGAATCTACAAAATGTTGCAAGTGACAACCAAGGTATCTACTATATCCATGATCACCTCCTTTAATTCCCTGGGATAGAGACTGTCTGGCCCTGGGGATTTATTAGGTTTCAGTCCCATTAATTTCTCTAGCACTATTGTTTAATTTCCTTTAATTCCTCTTTCCTGAAAGATCCTTGTTTCCCTAGTATTCCTGGGAAGCTTTTTATGTTCTTCAATGAAGACAGAATAAAACTGAGTGTTTACTTGTTCTGCCGTTTCCTTGCTCTCCATCATCAATTCTCCTCAGGGGCCTATATTTGTCTTCATTAATCTGTGTCTTTTTACATACTTATATTAGCTCTTACACTTTGCTTTTATGATCCTTGCAAGTTTAATCTCATACTCTGATTTTCTGTCTCTTAATCAACCTCTAAGTCCTCCTTTGCTGAATTTTTAACTGCTCCAAGTCTATTTTTGAGCAACTTTACATGATTCATCCTGAGATCAAATACTATCTTTAATTTCCTTTCCTAGCCATGGTTGGGACTGAAGTGAGAATATAACTGTTGGAAAGCATGCATCCATTTCTTATATGTTAATCATCACATATCCACTGTCAGGCTTTTTATTGAGCTTACCCAGACAATGCAGCCAACTCACCCCTCATGTTTTCATCATTTCCTTTGTTTAGATTTAGGACTCTAGTTTCAGATTGGTCTACTTCACTTTCTATCCCAGTGATCACTTTTTCCCAAAGGACCTCACAATAAGATTATCAATTAACTGTTTCTCATTACACAAAGCCAAATATAGGATAGTCTGCCCCCGAGTTAGTTCCTCAATGCACTAGTTTAAAAATCCTGGAATTCATCTTCCTCAGCCTTGCAATGAATGTGGTTTTCCCAGTCTCTATGTAGATTAAAATGACCCGTGATCACTGGAGGTCCCTTGTTAAATGTGTCTGTAACTTCCTGTTTAAGGCTATCCTCTACCTTACTGTTTACTACTGATGGCTTTTAGACAATAAGATAACTCAAGTGCAACAATAAACTAAATTGGTTTGATGATCAGAAAAACAAAAAAAAGTTAACAATTTTTCTGATTCTGTTCTAAAATTGAGAATTGGAACTGAAAATAAAGGGACATAAGCTAGTTCTGCCACTCAGAATGAGCGCTTATATACAATGGGTTGTGGTGAACATTCCCAGAGGAAAATGGCAGCACACAATACAATGTCAATAAAGACCAATGTTCATTGGAGACTCTTCACATGTGAGCTATCAATAATGTGGATGTAAACACGTGAAAGTAGGAATGCATAGGTTTGGAAAAGGCTATTTCAGTCCTGAAATTCTCTTATCTATGTTCACAGGCCCAATGAACCTGGTGAGAGTTGTCCTTCCTAAACATTTTCATGAATAGTTTTGCAATCCAAGACAGTAACAGCCAGGCATTCTTTGCACAATAAATGGCCCTTTCTTTGTCTAAGCGTATGAACATGGGTTAGTAAATGTTGTATTTAACATGGATTCCAGACCACACAGGAACTATATCTTTAAGACAGTTACTTGACAGCACAACATATGACATATGGTATATATCATTCTCTGTGTGCTGGAGTCAGTGCCATCTGTCAATTCTGTTGTGTAATGTGCAGTAATATCAACAAACACAGAACCCAGACTCTATATGTAAGTTGGTTATACCATAGCCATGTAAATAGTGAATTTCGTCCACAAACTTCAAGACATGAGTTTCAGTAAAATACCATCTTCTGTATTGTACATTATGTGGACTAACATAGTTAGGGTAAACAGGCACTAAACCTACTTATGACATCTAATTAGTGATAGTAAGTGGATGCTAAAGGCTGAATAGGCTGAAGTTACAACTACAAATAAATCTAAAGGCTATAAACCTGCAATGAAGCACAATGAATAACCTACCTCTTTATTTATCTAAAATAAAATCTGCAAATTACAAGAAGCACAGGGGAGTTCTGATTTTAAAAGAAACAGCAGTTAAAAGTGTGAAAGGAAAACTCTGATCTAAGAACATGATCCTAGAACAAAGTACAGAAAAAAATCACTGAAAAGGTGCCTCATTCATCAAAGAGGCCTTACCTGTCTCCAAACACCAGCAGATTCCACAATCTTGTTTTTCCAAATCAGTGCAAAAACATTTTAAAATCACACATGGGATTCTTCATCGCCCTCTC